ACTGCCATACATTTTTGGATAATTTTAGGAGCATTTTTATTCTTCCTGACAAGACACTGAATAAGGTTGAAGGACCACAATTTTGTGCATTTAATGGGTCCATCTGTAAAAATCTATAGTATGATATTTTATCAACAAAAAAAAACAACTGACTTGTCCGCTGGGCACGCCTCTGATAATTCTGGATCATATACAGGGTGAGTCAAAAATGTGTGATAGAACTTTGAAAAATGGGTATAGTTTGATAAATAAACTAATGGCCTAAAATGTGTATTAAGTGAGATATATCCTTCTAAAGTTGGTTAAATTGAAATAATTTTTTCGCATAACTTCTAAAAGGTAAAAGCCACCAAACTGAAATTTCTTGCATGAATGTATGTTGATAAAATACATTTTTCAGATACACTTCTACATTTCGGCTATAGTTACAAAGGGTATTTTAGAGGGTGGGTCATGATTTTTTGAAGTTGAAGTTTTTCCCTGTATTATTTTTGGTGAAAACAGGAGCATTAGATAAAGCGAAGGGAAATACATAAAAAGGTACTCTTATCAAATTACGAAGAATTCGAGTATTTGTAGTCACATGTTACCAGCAGATTAATTTATCGGTGACAATATTTTAGGAGCCATTACTAATTTTGTTGACGTTTATGACATCAACATTGTTATTGTTGATTTCTTCGTTTGTTTTTGTTTCTTTGTTATATTATTACTGTGATATTCAACTGAAGTTTTAAGAAATGACAGGTTATTCGTGATGCAGAGATGTTTTCCGCTGACGCGTTCCAAATTCTAAACCAATTTTGAGGATTGTGCAAAGATTGCGTGAAAAAGAATGTTTCAAAACGAAAAATAGAGATGGTGACCGGCCAAGAAGTTCGAGGCCTACTAAACTATTGTTACTGATGAGCTTACCTGCTGATAGCATGTCACGAGAAGAACTCAAATATCTAGAAAACGGTTACATTTTTTGTATTTTGATAATATAGTGCCATGGCAATTTTTTCTATCAGAAGCTTCTGTTTTTTTTTTATCTAGAAGAATACAAGGAAAAAAGTTGTCGTCAAGGGTGACCCACCCTCTAAAAACATCCTTTATTACTATAGCAGAATAGTAGAAGTGTTTAAAAAAATAGCGTATTTCATCAACACACATTTATGCAGGAAATTTCAATTTGGTGGCTTCTACCGTTTAGAAGTTATGTGGAAAAATTATTTTAATTCAATCAACTTTGGAAGGATATATCTCCCTCTAACACATTATGGGCCATCAGTTTATTCATCAAAATATATTATTTTTCAATGTACCAACTATCACATCCAGAAAGCTGGGTATACATTTTTGACTCACCCTGTACAATTGGCCCAGTAGAGATGTCTAATAATTCCAATTACGAAATAGCTACAATGCTCAAAGTGAAATGAAATGTTGAATAAATACAAAAAAAATCAAAGTCACTTGGGTATTACAGTTTTGTGGAGTGTTTTGTTCCTTGTAGTCTGTATTATGTTAACCCCAGTTAAACTCATGTGGCTCATGGCAGATTTCTCCGAGACTACAAATATTGCTGATTGGATTTTATTGGGCCAGGTTACGCATAGCCGGCGGTCTTCGGACTGCTAGCTGGAGACTATCCTACACTGACGAGAGTCACGAAGCTCGAAACCGGTCTGTAGGTGTCGATGCGTTGACCTGGTTATATCAAAATCAAATCGGCAATAGGGAAGGAAACACTTCCATTAGACCATTAGTATTCGTTGTGTTAAAAACGTATCGATGCATAGATTTCGGGAGAATGTAATTCAATGTGCTGCGTGGCATTAGCCAGGAATGTGTTGTTTTTCTCCCGCCTCTAACCATTCGTGGAAGTAACTTTTTTGATTTATTTGTCTAATAATTGTTCAAATAAACCCTGAAAATTTACTTGAAATATAGCTATCAAAGAACTCAACACCCTGTTATGAGTAATAAGTTCAAAATTCAAGCAATATCATTACTTATCATTACCAGGTATTATGAAAATGAAACAATCATTACTTTCAAAAGATTATCTGATTTTTAACGAGTGCATAGTTAGTAGATATCTATCGCAGTGATTGTTTTTTGACTGGTAATTCAAGCAGGTATCGGTATTTCCATTCCGCCATTCTTATCAATTATTGTATTCGAAACAATTGGTAAACACTGGCAATGATTGCGTAGAATAGATATACATAAAATATTATTCTGGAAACCGAAAAAAATTGAGGTATCATTTTGATTCATGTAAAAAATAGTTAATTATACAATCTGACTGAAAAAAAAACGCCCCCAAGCCTTAGCGCCGCTATCAACTATATAGTGTTTGATTTTGAAAAACAAAAAAGCAAATCATGGAATTACCATATACGTATTAATAAACAATACGGATAATCTCTATCTGTTTCCATAGCGAAACATGAAGCCGATTTTTGAAGACAAATGACTATCCATAAGGAAACCTTTTGAAACGATCAGACACATACTGCTTTGATTGAAAGGCTAGTAAACGTCATTGTCCACCGAAACGCATGTCTTTGATGACTACTATAATAGCGCATGGCGCATGCGTATCATGCCACCAAATCCTTATGGATATTCATTTGCTTCATATTTTTGGCTTCATCCTGGCACCCGTTATGATCCGTATTGTTTATTAATACGTATATGGGAATTACTGATCAGATAGGTATTAAGTTTGCTCTGATCCTTCTTCTTTTTCTTCTTCTTCTCTGCACAGGTGGGCGGGTGCGTAGACCCATGCACTCAGGCCTCTTCAGTCGGGCCCATTTTGCGCCCACTTGTCCTGTGAATCAGCTGGGCATGCCGATTTCTTTGACGAAATTCAGCAGCTTCCTCTGCTGAGTCGCTTTCACATCCTTTGGGTGCAGTACAATGCTCCCAGCTTTCCTCTGATGCACCAGCGCGGGGCATTCAGTGTGTATGTGTGATGATGTTTCATCATCCTCCAAGCACCATCTGCAGATGGGATCATCTCTGATCCCTATGAGTTCTAAGTGCCTGTTGAGGTGGTTGTGCCCTGTTAAGAGCCCAACTACCATCTTGAGATCCCTTCTATTGAGTGATAGGATCTCTCTCGTGAGCCTTTTCGAAGGTTCCTTTATATGGAGCTTTGATTGTCTCATTCCTGGTGTGTCCCGCCATGTTTCAAGGAACTGCCTCTGTAGCATTTCCTTCATGAAGGACATAGCCGTACTATTGGGTATTCCCAATATCGGTTCTGGTCCAATGGGTGTCGTTCCTGAACCGATCTTGGCTAGTATGTCTGCCTCCTCGTTCCCCGGGATACCAGAGTGTCCTGGAACCCACATGAGGCTGACTTTCCTAGTTTTTGCCATATTTTCTAAGGCACTTCTACACTCTACAATTTAGTTGTGATCCTATTGGATCTCAATGCTATAATAGCAGCTTTGCTGTCCGAGCATATGGTGGCTGGTCCACGTCCACTTCTGCCGAAATTTTCTTGGACACACGTCAGAATTGCAAACACTTCGGCCTGGAACACTGAAGCGTATTTGCCAAGAGGTACTGAGATTCCTTTCCCTGTTCCTCCTTCATATACTCCTGCACCAGACCCGCCACCAAACCTTGAGCCATCCGTGAACCAGGTTGATTCGTTGGCAGGAAGCAAACCTGTTTGCTCTGATCATTATTCGTTCAAATTCCAATTGTATTGTCAGCGACTGCCATTTTGTTTTTCAAATTGCACCATATAATGTTTTTTCACTTTTTTTATATTCAATGTTTTTTTCAGTATACAATGATGTATGACAAGTTAACTTTTGGACAGAATAGAAGAAACATGCTCAGTTGATCGATAGATTTGTTCATGAAATTTCGAGATGTATCATTGAATGTGGCAATAAATGTCACTGAAATCAAACGTCTAAGGTGGCCATTTGAAAATGAAATAGAGGCTCTGTAGGTCGCCAGAAACGAATTATGAAAAAACGTTGGAACAGTCGACTACATTTTCGAGGGGCACATCGTTGCAAAATTTTTTCAGAGCTGCGGACGTTGTTGTTTCTATCGAAAAGTAGCAACAACTTTGTTATTTCGAATGGAATACCCTGTATATTTTTAGATTCTCATTGAAGATCAGATTTCATCGATGTATCACACTTGGGGTCTAGCGGGAATGATGACATTGATATACCGGGTGTCAACGAATCTATTAGACAAGTCATAACTTCTAGACCATTAGGTGTATCAAAATGAGATAAGGGGTAAATGGTATGTGAAGAGGAGAGTTTTCACATTTTTCTTACTTTCCGGTCACTTCCGGTTTCACCGGAGATGACTCCGGTTCTAAATTTTTAAATGGAACACCCTGTATATTGTAACATTTTTGGATTTCTGAGAGAATTCTAGATCAGAATGTGACATTTTCGAAAGTTTTCATGCCTACTTAATTTTTTCGGAGTCACTTTAGAAATGTCTGGACTGGTATCGTTGGAAACAGAATAATTGGACCAATATTATTTCAAGGTCAGTTAACAGGGGTTAGGTAGGTACTTAGGTTTTCTTCAAAATGGAATCACTCACCATATTCACAGCCACTCAATAATTTACAGGGTGCGTCCAAAAAGTGAATGTGAAACATTTAAAATCCATTTTTTTTCAAATGGAAACCCCATTTCTTTCTTCTTATAATTCTATTCTGTTATAACAACGAAACGCCATATTGTATAAAATTTTTTGACTAGAGATTGATTTTTCTTGACTTCAAAAATCCCTAGATATACACTTTCAAGCAAATCGAGCAAAGAAGACAAACTCGTCCGCCATCTTGCAGAAGCCATATTGAATTTCTCAGTGGGTGAAAATTTTGTTGCAATATTTATGTTAGGCTGGGTTGGGTTATAGCGGGTTGTACAAGATTTGGTTAGGTTATGTTAAGTTTACAAGTAGACTGATTCTAATTTTATTTTCAACAGGTGTAATTTGAAAATTTTTCCACCATGGGGTCCATGTTCCGAAGCGAGGAAATGGTACTCACACAACTTTTCATTCAACCGGAAGCTGCCTATTATTCCATATCAGAATTGGGTGAAACTGGATGTGTACAATTCAGAGATGTAAGCAACTATTTCATTCATGAAAAAAATTGCAAAAAACACAGTAGTTTCTTCAGGTGAAATACTGATACAATAAACTAAACTCACATTGGCTTCAGTTCAGTAAAGTTAAACATGAAAAGGGGGTCGTGCTTGCAATAGGTCCGGTTGTTCTGGATTCTTTATATGTTTGTAGGACCTAAACCAGTATTAAAAAACCAGATTTGCAATTTCCAAACTGCTGTGTGAGCGGCGGTGTACCCAAAAAACAATGACGACCCAATCGGCTATTGCTCGTTTTGAAAGCGCCGTCATGACGATATCCACTTATCACTGTCTCTGGTTATCAGCCGTTTTTGAGAGGACCGCTAGGCCTACAGATACCAGTCTAGTCTCAAATGGAAGCTTTTTAAATTTACTACAACTTCATCTCATATAATATTTGACATGGGAAGCGTATTTTAGAAGATGAATCACAGAATAGGTGACCAATTTGAAGAAATTCCACTTTTTGTCAAAAATTGACTATTTTCGAAGAACTGTATCTTGGGAACCAATTGCTGTATAAAGCTCGCCTTAGCCTCGAATTGTAGCAAATTTAGTTATCTTCAAAAGTTTATGGGGTGACTATAGCAGTCAAATCCTTTCTTCTTTAAGATATTGAGCGAAAACTGAAAAAAGTCCAAAAATTTCCAAACGTTTTTTGGGTATACTGTCGCTCGCACAGTACTTTGGAAATTGCAAATCTGGTTTTTTAATATTGGTTCATGTCCTAACAACATATAAAAAATTCAGAATGACCTGACCTTTTGCAAGCACGGATGTACATCTTAAGAATCATTTCCGAAAAGTAGACACAACATAGCGGATACATATTATTATCTTCTAAGAAAACAAATTCAACAGCGGTGAATTATTGCAGTCTCGTTGATCGTTGAGTGGAATGTTAGAGTTTTTGCGTTTGTTGATTTCTAAGTGATTGAGTTTGATTCCTTTATTTTTCTACGTGTAGAATTTCGAAATTATCATCAAAACTATAATTTTCTTCTAATACATGGTTCGCGTATGTTGAATTTATTTCCTTTTTTAAAAAAATCTATCTTATGTTCATGAATGCACTGATTGAACCTTTGACCTATCTGACCGATATACAGGGTGTCCCATAAGTCATGGATCAAAAGAAGTGGGGTGGTGGGGGATCATTTTCAATCAAACCAACGGTATTGTTGATGGTTGAAAAGTTATTACATTTTTCTGAGAAACGCGACCCATTTGAAAAATATTAATAACAAAAAGGCTGTTGTGAATAGGTTATACCGTTTCGGAATCTGTTTTAAATGGGCCACTTTTTTTATAATTGGTTATCTTTGTGGGTTAGTTTTTGAATTGGCCAGTGGTATTCAAAATTCGACTGAAATATTTTATGACAATAACCAAACTTTAGGAAAACAAAATTTTTCTTAGGTAATTGATACAAAGTAACACTGGTCATAAAATTATGCGGATGGAATTTGTAGAAGAAAAAAATCACAAATGTGAAATTTTTTTATAGACCCGAAAAATAAATTGATAACTTTTGAACCATCACCAATTAGATATAACCATCACATACAGGGTGGCCCACGGTCGATGGTACCTTAGACGTATACGGAAAACGGTACATTGGATTATCCTGAAAATTTGGTTACTCTAATAAGCGTTTGTGATCTAACGATTCAAAATATTTTCAGCGATGCAGCGTTGCCACTTTTACCAAAAAGTAGCATCATCTTTGTTATTTCAAATGGAACTCCCTGTATTTTTTTGTGTCGAAACTATTCATCATTGGTCAAAACGGCTTACATGTCCCTATATTAACTTTTGATTAACTATCTACCGACATTTAATTGGAAAAAATACAGGATGGTCCAAGATTCAGAATTTTGATCACCCTGTATCTGTTCCAATTAAATGTCAGTAGATAGTGAATAAAAAGTTAAGATAGGGACATGGAAGCCGTTTTGATCGACAATAAATAGTTTCAACACAAAAAGTTCCTGAAATTGACACCTTATATCTCTGTAATAATTCCTGCTAGACCCCAAGTGTGATAGATTGATGAAATCAGCTCTTCGAGAAGAATCTGAAAACGCAATAAAATACAGGGTGTTCTATTTGAAATAACAAAGATGATGCTACTTTTTGGTAAAAGTGGCAACGCTGCATCGCTGAAAATATTATGAATCGTTAGATCACAAACGCTTATTAGAGTAACCAAATTTTCAGGATAATCCAATGTACCGTTTTCTGTATACGTCTAAGGTACCATCGACCGTGGGCCACCCTGTATACGATTAGTTTGATTGGAAATGACCCCACCCCCCACCACCCACTTCTTTTGATCTAAGACTTATGGGACACCCTGTATACTTTAGGATAAGATCCACCCCTGATTTTTCGAATTTAGAAGTTTTTTCTTAATTATTTTTGATAAACCAACGTGTTATTTGTTCTAAAGGCAATTTTTGGGTCCTGTTTATGTAAAAATTAAGCTAATTTCTCAGTTGATGATCCGAGCGTTAGCAAAACATTTTTACTATGGATTTCCATCAAGTAACGGCAGAGTCAATTCAAAATAATATTTCATTCATGTATTCATCCACGACTGTTGTATTAAATATGCATAATACATGTACATCCTGAAGCAAAATTGTAGTTATTTTTAACACCAGTGAATAACCATAATTCACTGGTCTTGAGTTCCTAGGGTACGCGATATAACATAAAAGGAACTTTAGACCAGTGAATAATGGTTATTCACCGCTATTATTCACTGGTGTGAAAAATGGCTATCGATTTGCATGAGGAAGTATAATTGTCGTGGACAAATAATTAATATGACAGGTATCTTCAATTTTTAGTTTTCTCAATGTCAAATCAAATGAGTTAGGATGAAACAGTTGTTAATAAATAATATATCAAAGACAATATAGTCGTGGACAAAGTATAGTATCGCATATAATGAACACAAAAAAAATTATCAACTTGTTTTAGTTGAATGTGGATGTGAACGCTTTCCAACGAAAGTTCGTCAACGAAGTGAGAAGATGTGATGAAATGGAGAGAAAGTTGAGGTATATTGAGGTGGAAGTTAAGAAAGATAACGTCAACATTCCCGATGTCAGCGAATTGCCGAAAGCTCCAAATCCTCGAGAAATCATCGATTTAGAAGTACGTATTAAGGTTAATCAACAAGACAGAAAAACAAAAAATTTTAAAATGAAACATAATTTTCATGGAATATCCCACGAAATTCTTAATCACACGACATGTTTCGCTAACACAGTAGCCTTCATCAGGTGGAATACTGGTACTGGTACTGGTATCAGAATTTCACCTGATAAAGCTACTATGTTAGCGAAACATGTTGTGTAATCAAGAATTTTTTGGAAATCTTATCATTTGCTATGGATTTTCATCAAGTAACGGCCGAGTTCATTCAAAATTTCATGAGAAATGAACGAAATTATTGTTGAAAAATTTTCATATATTTGTCAACAAACTCATGATCCATATTCCCAACATTCTGAACTTATCAGATAAGGGAATAATAGCATCTAGATAAACATAAAACCAATCTGTTTCAAGTGTATATAGTAGATTATACCACGAGTCAATAATGATAGCTATTATTCTCGAGGATTTTTTACGAACCGAGCCGCGTTAGCGGCGAGGGAGTAACATTCCGAGAGAATAATAGCCATTATTGCGAGTAGTATACTCTACTTTATTTGCGACTAATATATATACTTGTGGTTTTTGAAGTATAATGCCATATATTAATCCCGCAGGGAATAATGGCGAGGGATTAATAGTCTTTATTCCCTGCGGGATTAATATATGGCATTATACTTCAAAAACCACAAGTATAATATATTAGTCGTGAATAAAGATTATTATTTATACCCAGACAGTTGATTTATCTCGTCAGATTGATTTTCACTGATTATAATAATAATAATATTAATAATATGGCTTTAATTGCTGCTGCAACACCTTTTTACATTATATGTGGACATAAATGAATATATAAATATATACATCATATGAATCATATACAGTGTGCCCACCTCAAGGACTTACCACCCCTGTTAAATCGTTATTATCTGACCGATTTCGAACAACATTTTTTGTTGGATAGGTATTCGAAATGTCCATCCAACAAGATAGTGATTTTATTCTTGGACTGTTATCACGGCCAACTGCGACTAATTTTAATCACCCATATTTCAGTAAGTACTATCAGGGATTTATTTCCAAAAAAATAATGATAGAATCTGAATCAGGATCAATTGAAACCTTTGCCGATTTTCATCATCAAAAAACACAGGGTGTCCGAAAAAACGAATTAATATTTTTTTTGAATAGATGATCGGAAAATGTACTACTGTCGTATTTTTGGAAAGAACCAATGACAAATTATCATTGAGGATTACTTTCAAATATATCTGTACCAATTTTCATCATTCGAATATACAATGTGCCTGAGAAAAAAATTTAAAAGGATATGTAGCAATATTTTTTATCATGATAATTCTTCACTCGAAGAATAATTATGAATCACTTGAAACATATCTGTACCGATTTTCATTATCATCAAACACAGGGTATTCAAAAAATCAAATTATTATTTTTTTGAATTGATAATAAAATATTACCTACTTATTCTTTTTTATTTTTTTCTCATTCATATCTTATATTTGTATGATAAAATTCGGTACAGATATGTTCGAATTAGTCCTCAATGATGATGTGTCATGAATTTCTACCAAAAATACCACAGTACTACATTTTCTGATGACGTATTCAAAAAATAAATAATAATTCGTTCTTTTGAACACCCTATGTTTGATAATGATGAAAATCGGTACATGTATGTTTTGAGTGATCGTGATTCAGGATCCTTCATAATTTTTTTGAAAAAAAAAATCCCTAATGGCACTTTCTGAAATATGGGTCAATAAAGCTGGTCGCAGTTGGCCACGATAACAGTCCAAGAATAAAATCATTTACTTGTTGAATGGACATTTCGAATACCTGTCCAACAAAAAAAAGTTTCTCGAAATCGGCCTGATAATAACGATTTTACAGGGGTGGTAAGTCCTTAAGGTGGACACACTGTATATAAATCGTGAAATGCGGTGGCTGCAAAGAAAGGGCAAAGTTCGCACTTCTTCAATTGGATATAAAATAACCAATTTCAGAAGCCGCGCTCTTCCACTTAACCTTCCACTTAACCTGTATTTCAGAAAAATCTCAGTACTATAGCAATCATTCAAATTCAATCGTTGATTGGCTAATTGAATAAATGAGGTTATTGTCACATCATTGTCGTTCTAATGGAAAACTCAGTTCGTAGGCGAGAGGTATAATATTGTCTGTTCGTTGACCCAAAATTTGTCTCCATGTCAGTGGTGCTAGTTTACCGAAAACATCGAGGGCTCATTTGTTTCACTAGAATTTTTGTCAAAATGGACAAAAGGCGAGTGCACTATTTTTTTTTTATTCCTGAATAGAATCATCTCTCAAATACCTTTCAATTTCATATTTTTTTTTATTTTCGGTCGATTTTTATGTGCTAAAATCATCAATAATGCTACGGTAACTTTCAAACGGCTAGAAAATTACCCCCCAGTAAAAACTGACACCATGATTTCGTAAGTAGGGGCACACTATAGCAAAGTTGCCATGGGTTGAAATATGATTGGGACTTCAGAAATATTAGTAATTCGATAATTCATTAATTCTCAATTAAGTATATTGGTAACAATCCTAATCAGCTATAAAAATTCAATTGTCTCAATTTGTTCCCTTATGATTTGTGGATTATTGTTCATAATGAATTTGTGTAAATAATAATCATATTAATTCACACCTTTGAATCGGTGTACGTGACAACACGGCGCATGACTTGTGGACGTGGTCTTGTCAGTTCTCAGTAATCAGCACAATGTTGCCAAGTCTCTAACATTTACATGATATTTTGTTATGGAGAATAAGAAATATTTGGTCATGCTGGTTGCTCGAAAAAGTCAAGAATGAATTATAATATCATGGGCTCCTTCTATTGTGTTTCATTCAGCGACAGGACTGTAACATCGTTTAGATAACTTGATTATAATTGCTGACTTGACAACCTTTTTTTTTTTCATCGAGGTGGTTGAAATCCTTTAGGGACACCATATGGGTCCAATCCCCCATATGATAGTGCGGAAGTCCCCTGACTCCAGGTATACCCACTAAACACTCCACCCCGTTTGTAGGCTCGTCTGACCGAAGTCTCCGACGACACTTAGGCCTAGTGGCCCATTGTATCTTACCTACATGCCGTTATCAATTTTACCATATACGACTCATGGTGCTTATCAAGGGCCACTTCAATATGAAAGACTCGTTTCGTTCAGGTTCCTGAAGATCACTCTTCCGATCCCTGTTCTCGTCTACGAAGAAGGCCAAAAGTTTTTCTTCTCCTACGAGTGACGGGGAAAGGGGTTGGTCCCCCTGTGGTGCCCCCTGCACAGGGCTAAGGCAACTTACTCTGAGATGTCGCCCTGTTTCCCAGAGGCCCCGTTAGCGACACCATACCTCGGTGCCATTCATCCATCACCACGGGTTCCCACAGCTTGGATTAGGTTGCCAGAGCCTCATTGACCAGTCCTCGGCCACCTAGACAGACATCGGCATATCGCCCCATCCCTACCACAGATGTTCACTAATTGTCCCATCTGGCCCGGAGATAGCAAATATGGCCCCAAAATGCTTCATCCGTCGAGCGGCCGCGGTCTGTCCTCCCCACACCACTTGATGGTGAGGTTGGGATTGAAGGGGAGGAGGAAAAGAGAAGTTGGCCAAGAAAGGCCGATAGATGGATTGAAAGAGGAAGAGAGAAGAGGATATCACCCAAGACAAGTTGAAGTATGGTGAATATCCGGCTAGGGTACATCGGGTTCACCATTCCCGTACTCACAAGTTGTGAGCCCCTGAGGGGATTTGACAACCTTGCTTCACGAGTGGAAATGGAAGATTATCTGACTAATAACGAAACAGCATAAAAACTGACGTCACCATTTATTCGACGTATCGCCATATGGCGGCCATGAAGGTTCGTTTGAAATGAGCTCTGAAATTCAACAATTTCGAACAACGCATCGACTCAGTATTTACATAAAAATAGTGAGAAGTGTTGGAAAAATTAATTTAGGTTCCTAACGACACAGTGGAGTAATTGAATGCCAATTACTCATTATCAGTCCACTCGCCCATTTTAGGTCGATGTTTCGGACAAATTACATTTCTGATTTGATTGTCTAATTTCAAGTTAGTTGTTAACACGCCTATTGAAGCAAGTTACGCCCGAAATACATACAATATTTAATGCCCTACCGGTATATGTGTTTGTGAATACCTCTCTGCCTCTCAAGCGGGATAAAAATACATTATGCCTAGAGCCCAATTAGTAATACGATGTTTTCCTAACAATTCAATCTTAATGTTACCATGATGTAACAAAAATCTTCTTCTCCATGTAAGTACTGACTTATATCAACACATTACTTTATTTGTAGCTAAATATTCTGAATATTTGCTTTGAGCTGAAGATGAACCTATATAGGTTCGAAACATGTCCTAGAATCGTTTGAGATTGTCATTGAAGAATTGTGGAGATGACCAGGAGAGTTTCTATCACTTTGAATACAACATGGTTGCATTGTGTTACCATGCTGATTTCTCGTAATAGGAGTAGAGGATAACAAATAAATGATTCACTTCGGAAAATAAAGGCCACTACAGAAAATATTATATCTCTCGCATACTAGCTAGGTTTTCATTTAGAACATAATAGACAATAAATATCAATTTCAAAATCATTGACCCCATCAAAATTGATTCAAATGTCATCCGTGTATGATTATAAAATCAGTCTGAGAGTACAGAAATAAATTGAACCAGAAAAAATAATCTCATACTGACGTCTTGATGGTACGTTAATTCTGCTGGACAGCGTACCTCCAGTAGAGTTTCCAATCCGGGATCCCATGATTCCGGAAAGTTTTTCGTCCCGAAAATTACGGGAATATAGAAACGGGATCCCGAAAATCTGAATTTCTTTTAATCATAAAATTTCAATCTACTTTATTCCTTTTTTCTTTAAACGACTAGGTACCTTTAAATACGATTTTTAGTAGAGTAGTAGTAGTATTAATGTAGTTCGTTGGTATGTAAGTACATACCAACTGGCCATCGACCTTAGGAGAGGTCCTCCAGTACATGTGTGTTCTGTGTAGGCTTTGTTACTAACTCCATACACCACTCTAGGAGCAGCACTGTATTTTTCGATTAAAACTGTTTTTCATGTATTTCTGCATTTTTTCTTCTGTTGCTTTTGTTAGATTTGAAAAAATATTGGGGTTTCGAAACGGCATCCCGATCTAAGATTGGAAACCCTAAATACCAGTTTCCTCTAATGAGAAAAATGTTTCAGGCTCACCTGGAAAAAACCGAAGGAGAAATCAAAGAGCTTTCCGAGAGCGCCGTCAACCTTAAATCAAATTTCCTCGAGCTCACCGAGCTGCGCCACGTGCTCGAGAAGACCCAGTCCTTCTTCAACGAGCAAGACGAGGCGAACGGCCTCAACGACTCCGTCCACAAGTCCCTCATCCCCGCTGAGGATCACAACGTGTCCATCAGGGGGAGGTTAGGATTTGTGGCGGGGGTGATAAACAGGGAGAGGTTGCCGGCTTTTGAGCGGATGCTGTGGCGTATTTCCAGAGGAAACGTATTTTTGAGGCAGGCCGAGATCGAGAAGCCTCTAGAGGACCCGACGACGGTAACAAATGAAAATTGTAGTAGTAGTAAGGCCATGCCGGTTCTGGGTCATTGTGCTCCAGAACTGGCATAGTTCTACTACTCAACCCTATTTATTGCAGTTTCTCAACTTTTACAAATCAGAAACAAAAACTTTACAGAATATATAATATTCCATCAGAAAAATGAACAGAATATTAGTCTCAATCTCCAAATTAAAAATAAAGTATTGAAAAGGACTACGAAAATAAAGTATCTTGGTATTTGGATTGATGAAAAATTGAAATGGGACAAGCATATAGAGGAGGACAAAAAATATCTCTAATCATTGGAGCTTTGCGAAGATGTCATAAACATAGTACTTCATTCTCATATACTTAGTCGTATTACCTATATGATAAACGTTTGGGGATCTTGTTCAAATAATTATTTCAGTAAAATATCTGCACTTTATAAGAAATCACTGAAAATATTGTATCGCCTCTCATTTGATATCCCAACAAATAATCTGTTTGCGATAACAGAAAAGTTTTCATTTGATGAATTGTATAAAATAAATTCTCTCAAAGTTCCATATAATGTAAACAATAATCTGAAATTAAATTTTCTTTCAATAAGAAACTCAGAAATTCATGGTCATCACACGAAACAATTAAACTTATTTCATCTTGATTGTGCTACTTCTATAATTGGCCAAAATAATTTACACACGCTGCTCTAGCTGAAATCAATGAATTACCACATAAATATAAAAAATTGCAGACATATTTCAAAATTTAAAATTGAATTGAAAAAATACATGATTTCATTCCGAAATGAATAAAATTGATACTTTGCCATCTACTGATTAGTCCCTGTTGCTATTTTTGTGACTTGATCGATTTAGCATATTCAGATTTTTCAGATTTTTTATTTTTTGTTGTTGTCACCTTTTATTATTGTTGTTTGTAATCAACTTCCTCATACCAGAATTCTTTTCCTGACTGGAAGCTAGTTTCTCAATGAACAAACAAACAAACAATATGATAGCTCCTCATATTGTTTGACTCAACTATCACAAAAAATTCTACATCGAGCAATACGGCTTTTTTTGTAGAATAAAAAGTCAGCCTGTGTTTTTTTTTCAGGTTCTTCTTGAATATTCAGATAAACTCACTGAAATACAATATTTCGGTCTCTTGCAATTTTACAGGGTGTCCAAGTTTGAGAAAAACATTAGTTTCCATTAATATCTTGAGAACGCTCAAGCCGGTTTGATGAAATTTATATGGTTCATTCACACAATCATCAGATATTTACTGGACCGATTAGATTTGATTCAGAATTTCCAGAGGCGTACCCATCGAACAATTCGGCTTTTTTTGTAGAAAAAAGAGTCACCCTTTGTTTTTTTCGGGTTCTTCTTGAATATTCAGATAACTGAAAATACAATATTTTTGTCTATTGCGATTTTTTCGTATCTTGCTTCGTTTAAAGAACATTAAAAATGCTTAGATATTATCCAAATTGCATATTATTATTTATGAAAACAAAAAAGGCATAAAATTCGATACCCTCTCTGGATTGTATAATATAAGGCCTTCGAAGTACTTGGCACGAGGCCCGTACACTCATATTCCAGTTCCATCTTCGGTTTTAAAGCCATCTGTGTACCACTTTCTGACTCCTTCTTTGAGCTCAATATCCATGGATTCCATTCTATTTTGTAGCTCAGCTATGTGTTAAATGTTTCACAAAGCTGTACTTCTTTATCTCATCCTGAGGAAAATCCTGAATTCGCTGATTGAGTGGGTAGATTGGCCTGCCTTTGATCATTACTTTTCTGATCATTCTGTATATCTTCTCTTTGCCGCATTCTACATAACTAAATTTAGAGGAGTGATGTCTAGAATTACCTCCATTGCGGCAGTGGGACACGTTCTCATTGCACCACGAGCCACACTTATAATCAATATGTAAAAATTATGCATTTTGAAAATATTTTTACAGGGAAACGAGCATTATAAAACTGTTTTCGCGGCCTTCTTCCAAGGTGAACAGTTGAAGACGAGGATCAAGAAGGTATGTGCAGGGTTTCATGCCTCCTTGTATCCCTGCCCTAACACCATCAATGAGAGAAATGATATGCTGAAAGGAGTGCGAACTCGTCTTGAAGACTTGAACTTGGTAAGAATAATCTAATACACATTGTTACAATGTTTCATCTGGCTTATAATTTGAAACTCTTTATTCTAGGTCTTGAATCAAACTAGAGACCATCGTCAGAGAGTATTAGTAAGCGTCGCTAAAGAGTTACAGAATTGGAGTATCATGGTCAGCAAGATGAAGGCCATCTATCACACTTTGAACTTTTTCAACATGGATGTGACGAAAAAATGCTTAATCGGCGAATGTTGGGTGCCTTGTAACGACATACACATTGTACAAAAAGCATTGGGAGATGGCTCGGTAGGTATTGTCGAAACAAATGTTGATTATGATAGCATGAGTTGGTTTTTGTCGTTCTATAACGATAACGAGGCCGAGCTGACATAATTGTGAAGGAAAAAAATGTAGGCAGTGAAAAATTCAACATACCTTGTGGAAATTCATTTTTCAATCATTTATGAGCTCTACTAACAAAGTTAATCTTTTGGCGCAGTCGGTAGGAATGTGAAAAATAAGACGTATTATACTGCCTTTCAGAGCAGTTCTTTAGGGTATAGTTACTTATCAGTTTTTTTTATGAGTAAAAAATGTATTCATGATTTCTTCTGAAAGGGTTAATGAATGATATTTCAAGAAATCTATTTCGAAATTATCTAGGAGCTTCAGCAACTGAGAAAATCTTATGGTACAAATCGGTAGGGATTTTCTACTGTGATGAAACTTGATATGTTTAGTTTTTCACTGCTTACCAGATTATTTTATTCTCGATAATATCGATTCGGCCCTCATGTTAGTTTGATTTCTATTGATAGAATGCATGTGGTAGCTCCATTCCGTCATTTATGAATGTTATAACCACCGCTGAAGAGCCTCCGACCTTTAACAGGACCAATAAATTCACCAGAGGTTTTCAAAATCTCATCGACTCCTATGGTGTTGCATCTTACAGAGAAGCTAATCCAGGTATTTATCTATTCATTCTTGTTTATGATGTAGTTAGAATATTGCACGTTGTGAAGCCCCACTTTTTCTTTGTTGGCCTACTAGAGGGGTCTTCACAGAGTTAGTTTTATGCACTGATCATGCTGGCTTCGGCATTTTTTTTAGAATAATACTTAGATTCCTAACATGAGTTGATTCACGTAATAATGATGTTCAGTATAAAATTTTATCATTGCCTCGTAAGCACTTGAAGAAGATATTTCGAGTTCATATACCTAACTGTTTACTGTCCTAAGAAACGACTTTCTACTTCCTAAGTGCATTTGTTCTTGTGATAATCATTATTTTGCTAGTCCCTGCGTTCATTACAACGTCAGTGACATTATTACAAATTCACCTTGCTTTCGGCTTATTTTTGTTTCAATGTTCAGATTCCTAACATGAGTTGATTCACTCAATAATATAACTCAGTATAAAATTATACCTTTGCCTCGTAAATACTGGATGAAGATATTTCGAGTTCATTAACCTAAATGTTTACTGTCCTAAGAAACGACCTTCTACTTCCTAAGTGCATTTGTTCTTGTAATAATACTTTTTGTTGTGTCCCTGCGTTTATCACAACCTCAGTGACATGATTTACAAATTCACCTCGTGATTTATTGCACCCCTTTACACAATCATCACTTTCTCTTTCCCCTTCGCCGTCATGTTCGACTATTGCTGTCACGCATTGATCATGGTGGCCTTCGCACTTTTTTTGGAGATGTATTTAGATGCCTAATTGATTGATTGATTGATTGTCTTTATTACCCTAAGAAACATAGTTGTTTATAATAGGGATACATAAACAATACACATAATGTTATACATACAAATAAGAAATAATAACAAGATATAACAATTTACCAAAAAATGCAAGTAATCAACATGAGTTGATTCACGCAATAATATTGCTCAGTATAAAATTCTATCTATGGTTCGTAAACACTTGATGTAAATATTTCCAGTTCATATGTCTAATTCTGCCTACCATCTATGTAACTTAAATATTTATGTAAGGTATGTAGCACTGAATATTGATAGCTACTCATTAACCTCACATTTCAGGGTTGGTTTTGATAGATTCAAAATTAAATGGATATTTCAGAATGGTAATTATCTAAATATATCAATGATATCATTGACTAATTGTCCTTTTTTATGGTTATTTAATTATTAAATTCGACTGATACTTTTTATAATGAGTAACAATTTTCATTTCTTATACGTTCCAGTTTCTTCTAGAACGATGGATCCAAACTTATATAAAGATTTATTATAACATCCATAATATGACCTACATGAGTGATTTAATAATTACAGTGAGAAAATCGGGTCCATAGGAATGTTTCATACTATGTAATGTCATTTCATAGAAATATATCGAAAACGCACTGGCATGGAATTATACATAGCCTACAGATTCTGTACTGGTGTGCAGAATAGCAGCATAAAATGTTTACTCTTCTAATTTGAAACGACTTTCAACTTCCTGAGTGCATACGTTCTCGTAATAATGATTTCTGCGTTCTTAACAACGTCAGTAACATGACTACGAATTCACCTCGTAATTGTTTCCAGCCCTCTACACAATCATCAATTTCCCTTTTCTCTTTGCCGTCATGTTTGGCGATTGCTGTCACGCACTGATCATGTTGGCCTTCGGCTCTTTTTTTTGTAGAACTTTAGATTCCTGACATGAATTGATTCAGGTGATAATATTGCTTACTATAACATTCTATCTATGCCTCGTAAACACTTGATGAACATATTTCCAGTTCATATACCTAAATGTTCTGATTCAAAACGACCTTCTGCTTCCTAAGTGCATTCTTCCTCGTAATTACAACGTCAGTGACATGACTAGAAATTCATCTTGCAATTGTTTTCAGCCCTCTACACAATCATCAAGTATTTCCCTTTCCTCTTCGCCGTCATGTTCGGCGATTGAGGTCACGCAGTGATCATGTTGGTTTTTGACACTTTTTTTTTAGAACAATATTCAGATTCCTAACGAAGTTAATTCACGTGATAATATTACTCAGTATAAAATTCTATCTATGCTTTGTAAACACTTGATGAAAATATTTCCAGTTCATATGCCTAAATGTTTACTGTTCTAATTTGAAACGACCTTCAACTTCCTAAGTGCATACGTTATCGTAATAATACTTTATTACGCTTCTTTGAAATCAACTTGTTTTCATCTATATTGGTAATATTGTAAGATACGCTTTTTCTGGCTATCGAACTGAAACAGCGCACGGAAAAACTTTGAGAATAACCATGGAAACGAATCATACATGCCAAACACTGTATTGTCAGCATTGTTTATTCTCTGAGAATCAAATTTATGCCGACCAAATGAACTCGAGGAAGGAAATCCCGAAATTCCCTATAATATCCTAGAGCAAGCGGCACAAGCGACCGCGAATTTATTACCAGTTAAATCCAGGTCTAGTAGGTCCAAGTTTTTTCATTCCTACAACTGTGGAGATAAAAATGTTCCAAGTTTCTTTTGTTTCTTTTTTATAAATATTTTACTGTTATATTTTCATTTTCATCAAAGTATAAAAAAATATCGTTCATTACACGTCCAGAAACGATTCTTCCAGACTCGTAATGAAATATACTATTTCGCATTCATAATAACGTCAGTGACATGGCTACAAATTCACCTCGCAATTGTTTTCAGCCCTCTACACAATCATCACTTTCCCTTTCCTCTTCGCCGTCATGTTCGGCGATTGCGGTCACGCAGTGATCATGCTGGCCTTCGGCCTGTGGTTGGTGCTGGCCGAGAAGAAGATCGGCGCCCAGAAGAACAAGAGCGAAATATTCAGCATCTTCTTCAGCGGCAGGTACATCATCCTGCTCATGGGCATATTCTCGTTGTACACCGGTTTCCTCTACAACGACATATTCTCCAAGTCGATGAACATATTCCAGACCAGCTGGTACGTGAATTCGTCCTCGCTGGATTTGAGTCTCGAGGAGATCGATCTGACGCCCAAGGACAACTACATGGGAACCCCATATTTCATCGGCATCGATCCTGCGTGGCAGGTATGTGTTGGGTCGTTGTCAATTTGAATGGGAGAGCGAAGAGGTAGCTAGTAGGCGAGTGGAGTATAATTTATCGCCTCTTCATTGGCTCCGAATCTGTCTGCCTCCTATTCTCATGCTATTTTGTTTTATTTCAAAATCCAAGTTTCTCTGATAGTGGAGATTTCAAAGTTTGACGTCACAGAATAGAACGAGACGTTGGGCTGCTATACTATGACACAAGTAGTAAAACAGTTTGAAGAAATTTCAAATCATAATCATAAACTTTAGTATTGACATGAAATATTAAACTGGAACATATCTGAATAATGTTTTAAATAACCGTTACTGAAACGCGACATATTCTTATGAGTGAGACAAGGATCTCAATGGGGCCGAAATAGAGGCAACAATTTTCTCTGACATGAAGATCACTGTATATACCTAACCCAGCAGATGCCGACTTCCTCTGTACAGAGGCATTACAAACACAAAGTGTTGATACTCTCCCCTCGTAAGGGTACCTGTCATGTCTCCATAGAGACATGTTGCTACGTGAAAGTTTCTATGATATATCGCCTTCCATTACGGATATTTTCAGTTTGGAGAAATGAGATTGTTTTGTGAATTATAATGAATTTTAAAATGAATGAAACTATGTATGATGAAACGAAACGTTGGGCTTTTGGGTTGTCACAGAATGGATAGATTGGTACATGATTCTGAACTGAGAATGCGGACTATAATTAATAACGTAGGGAAATATGGTTTTGAACGCCAAGCTGAGACGGTAGCTAACGAGAATAGGAAATCAAATACCGGGCTGAGACACTCTATAATTCTATCACTAGCAATACCAGTCAGGCGAATTCGACAGGCCCAGTCAGCGCATCCTTTCGTTGTTAACCTCTAAATATGTCGAACAACACACTACCAAAACTCGTTCATCTATACAGGGTGAGTCAATCGAGGAGTCAATAGTGTGTTATCTTTCCACATTAGGCAAACCCTCAGATATAGAGTGAAATTCGAATTCAACAGTTATAGGGTGTTCGAATTCCAAGATATCGGCTGATGAAGGTTGTTTTTTTTTTCAAATGCGACACCCTGTATATTATTGCATATTCAGATTCTTCCTGAAGAGCTGATTTCATCAATGCATCACACTCTAACGGGAATTATTACAGAGATGAAGGGTGTTCAAAAGAGAGATTTTTAAATTTAGGATTTTTTTGTGTTGAAACTTCAAAAACGGCTCACATGTCCCATCTCAACTTTTGATTTACTATCGGGGGTAATACCATGAGAGCTCGCAATACTATCGATAGTAATTCTGTCAGAAATCAACAAGATCAAATTGCTTGGTAACACCACGAGTCCGCGAGGACGAGTGGCGTTACCTCAAAGCAATTTGATCGAGTTTAAGATTTCTGACAGAATTTGCGATAGTATTGTGAGCTCGAATTGTATTTATTGAGATAATTTCACGAATCAAAAAAGTCATACATACAAATGTATTCATCAAAATCACTTTTATAATTATTTTATTTTAAAGAAACTATCAAAACAATAATTTTTCTATTACTACAGTTTTAAACAGATACATGACAGACAATTTATTTGTAATAATAATTATTTACCACTGAACAATTATTATAAGTTATATTTTGTTTTTCGGTCGATGTTATGATTTGTGAATTTGATGAGGTCGCTGGGTTCTCTTCATTTCGGAGTTTGTCCATTATATTTTGATGGTGCTCACTATCCATTTGCAAATATGGCTTTATAGATTTGGCGCTAGCATGTCCCGTGATTTTTATAATTTCTTGTTCGTTCAGTCCAGCTTTAGCCAATTGGCTAACTGTTGTAGCTCTGTTTGAATGATTTGTAATTTTTAATTTGCCGGTTTTTAATCCGATGGATTCTGCCGAATTTTTCGTCCATTTGGCGATCTCGTTGCAACCCATTGGACAATTTTTGTACCATGAGCTATTCTCATTCTTGTTCCAAAATTGATTGACTGATAGGAATAACCTGTCGGTTTTAATGTTTTCATTACGTTTTGATAACAGTTTCTTAAACAATCTTACTGGACACATGTCTTCATTCCTGTTATTTTTTGCCAACCATTTATCATCTGAACAACGCTGAGATCCACCTTGGGTTGTTTTCGTGAAGATTGGGTTATAAATAATCCGACCAGTACATACACCTGCATTGTTGAGTTCCTCACGAAAATACTGGACTTTACATGCAGCCGCTTCACCCCCTCTCCATGCTAGTTCTACTGCAGCAATGTGATAGAACTTTTTCATGAGTCCAATAGGTGTATTCTCATCGCAGCTCATCACCATAGCTCTCTGTTGTTCAACTGATAGAGATACTGACGATTTTGTTCTTTTCTCACTACATTTTTGGAGTTCTTTACGTTTTGTATCACGTGCTTGTCGTGCGGATCTGAAGGTGACATCTGTAAAAGGGTCGAATGTTCTATCGTATTCGTTGTGATATTTCTCCTGAATCATTTTTGCTGTTATATTCCACATTGATTTGACGACATTTTCTTTATAGTCATCACCATCAATTCTGCGCATATTGAATGCCCAGTCCTTCAATATGATTGCTAAACTTTGAATACTTGTGTCTTCATTGATGACATACCCTTTTCCAACAGTGAAGTTCATAAATTGCTTCCACACATATTTTTTATTTTTCACGGTATTCTTAGGCTCATGTTTGTTCACTATTATATCTATTTCATTTACTGAAATATTGCCAAAGCGTTGTCTTATTTCGTTCATTATCGTGAATTCTAATAGGCAATGACAATAATGTCTGTCTGACTGACATTTATGTCACACCGCTCAGATATCAAGAAATCTATTTGAATTCCTGGTTGCCATGACGACGTGGTCTTACCGGCTCGAAAGGAAGGAACCGAGTACTATCGCGGCACACCGTTCTGCTTGGTGCTCACATCGCAGGAGATGCGCGTTTCATATGGCGAGTGAAATTATCCACTGACATTTAATTGGAACAGATACAGGGTGATCAGAATTCTGAATCTTGAACCACCCTGTATTTGTTCCAATTAAATGTCAGTAGATAGTGAATCAAAAGTTGAGATAGGGACATATAATCCGTTTTGACTAATAGTTGATCGTTTCGACACAGAAAATCCCAAAATTGGAAAATCTCGTTCTTGAACACCTTATATCTCTGTAATCATTCTCGCTAGACTCCAAGTGTGATGCATTGATGAAATTGGCTCTTCAGGGAGAATCTGAAAATGCAATAATATACAGGGTGTCCCATTGACAAAACCCATCATCAGCCGATATCTTGGAATTTGAACACCCTATAGATATGAGATATGGAAATAATTTTAGGAGATATTTCTCATGAAAACTCTAACAGTTGTATTTGAATTGTTTCTATATATCTGTGTAGAACGACGAGGCTTCGGAATTCTTTGCCAATGGAAGAGTATTCTCAAGAACTTATAACCTCCAAAAGTTTGAAAAAAAAATCTACACTTATCTCCTCTCCCTATCCTCTCTAGGTTAGCACGATGTTCCACTCGTGCGCTCCAAGAGATAAAAAGAGTTAATCCTGACCTCCATCACTGAAACTACTCATATTGTGAGTTGATGAATGAGCACATGGTCACCAGACACCATGATATTTCGAATTTTGTAACAAAGACCCAGCCAGCGCATCCTTTCTTCGTTCACCTTGAAATATGTCGATATAACACTCTACCAAAACTAGTTCGTCTATAAAACGACGAAGCTTTGGAATTCTTAGCCAATGGGAGTATTCCCAACAATTACAACCTCCAAAAATTAAAAAAAAAACAACTCCTAGCTCCTCTCCCTATATCCTCTAGGTAAGCACGGTGTTCCACGAACATTATAGGACTTTCCATTCGTGCGTGCCAAGAGATAAAGAAATGTAATACTGACCTCCATGACTGAAACTACTCATATTGTAAGTGGATGAATGTACAGGGTGACTCAAAACCATGATATTTCGAATTATGTAACAAAAATGCCTACTCCATTTTCTCAATCTATACCATTTTAACACATTAAAACACACTGTGAATATAAATCTTGTATATTTTTATTTTCAAGACCTACTATATGGTCCGCTATAGGGATGAGAATTTTTAGTTCGACTATCAAGCATTCTTTATTGAGAAAATATGTTTAATTGAATATTGTTAATAAATTACTTCATTCTAGGTATACAAGATGTTGAAATAAGTTTTGAAGATGTTGATTTTTGAAAATATTCTCGAAACGGCAGGCTATTGAATGATTTTGTGAAAAATCTAGAAGTTGCAACGTTTTTTACTTAGGGTCGCTTAAGACAAAATAACAACTTTATGTTAAGTTGACGTTTTTGGAATGCTGATTGTTTCACCCAAAACATAATTTCTTGTTTCATTACCCTTAAGATATCAATTTGCTTATTGTCAATTCTGTATGAAAATAATTAGTAGGCCTTGATGGAGAATACATTTGATCTGCTATAAATTTTGTGGCTACTAAACATTAAAACTTACTTTTTTGTCGTAAATCTTTCCTCACGTAATCACTGAGCACTTGGTAGTTCACTTTCACTCACAAACACATCATCACACACGAAATAGTTCCTCACTTCTTAGCACGTTATTATTTCACTTCCGGAGTATAAACTATTCGCACAAAACTCGGTACCTTCGACATAAACGAAGAGGTATATTCGCTATCGAATAAAAAAACATGCGTCCGCATCTATCAAAAGCTTCGCGTATACTGACTCATTGACTAATTTTCATCTTGAATAAAATATTTTTAGATGAGTAATTTCGTACGTTATCTGTTATGCAACCCATGAGTAAGTAGTATGAGGAAGAGAACGATGAATGATACAGGGATGTTTCTTCAAATTCGCTCATACAGAGTGATTCCAATGGACAATGGGCTGAATTGTCAGTGCAAGCGATATGAGGCAAAAATATCAACATTTCCAGGCTGAGAATGGAACTAGAAGATCTCCACAAACTTTCAAATTTTGGATATATCTAAATGATGATGGGAACAGGTTTCTGTTCAGCCTATAAATATGTCTCACAATGCTATAACTACCTATTAATTTACTCACATGGATCTAAATATAATAATAAATAATTCAAAGCACTTTTTCATGATAAACATGTTGCAATAAATTGATCACTTCCACAAAAGAGGCAACCTTCTCCAAAAATTTCAAGACACTTTGTATCTTTGATAGTAATGTAGCGTTTTTCAAAGTGAAGTACAGACTACTGAATAATACCCAAAATCATCTTTACGACAGTTGAATGCTAGAAACACATCAAGGGCTACATGTTTCGGACATATACATATCCATCATCAGCCAAATGTCAAGGAAAAAGGTGTCTTACAACAAATAAGACCGATGCCTTAATGTCACATGGAGTATCACACCTTCATCCTTCATCCTTGATATTTGGCTGATGATGCACATATCCGGGGTGTTTCGAAATTTCACAACGCTTGACAGGTGAGCGATAGCCCTCGTGATTTCATTGACTGTGTAAACCATGATATACTCCTGGATAAATTAGACTACTATGCAATCAGAGGTTTGTCAACGACTGGTTCAAATCATACCTATCACAATGAATGATGTGTGTCAGTATAAAACATGATATGTCAGGTAATCAATCATACCACAACTCAGAATGTGCTCATATGCAAACTGGTGTCCCACAGGGATCAGTGTAAGGACCAACATTATTTTTGATTTATGTGAATGACATTGTGTGCAACTTTACTACTGTTAGTTTGACACTCATTGCTGATGATACAAGCGCATACTAGTTACTGATAAAAATACTGATCAACTCACATTGCTGTCAGAAGAAACAACGGAAGGAGTATAAGACTGGTTCCTAGCTAACAAACTATCTTTTAACTTTTCCAAATCGAATAACATTGTATTCAAAATGAATAGAGATCTCCAGTCTAAACTGAGTAGATCAATTTTTGCCCTACGACTTATAAAAAAAAATACTAATTTCGCGACAACGAAATTAGTATATTTCGCATACTTTCATAGTATCATGCAATATGGTTTATATGGTATAGAATTTCTCGAAACGGCCAGGCTATTGAATGACTTTGTAAAAAATCTAGATGTTGCAATGTTTTATACTCAGGGTCGCTTGAGACAATATAACAACTTTATGTTAAGTTGACTTTATTGAAATTATGAGTGTTGTACCTAAACAATAATTTCTTCTTTCATTACTCTTAAGATATCAATTTGCTTGTTTTTAATTCTGTATGAAAATTATTAGTAGGCCTTGATGGAGAATACATTTGATCTGCTATAAATGTTGTGACTAAAAATTAAAACTTACTTTTTTGTCGGAAATCTTTCCTTACGTAATCACTGAGCACTTGGTACTTCACTTCCACTCACACACACACCATTACACACGGAATAGTCCCTTACTTGTAAGCACGTTATTATTTCACTTCCGAAGTATAAACTATTCGCACCAAACTCGGTACCTTCGACATTAACGAAGAGTTATATTCGCTATCGAATAAGAAACATACGTCCGCATCTAAAGAAATCTTCGCGTATACTGATTCATTAACTCATTCAACACATTGTCATCTTGAATAAAATATCTCTATATGAGTAATTTCGTACGTTATCTGTTATGCAAGCCATGAGTAAGTAGTATGAGGAAAAGAACGATGAATGATACAGGGATGTTCCTTCAAATTCGCTCATACAGAGTGATTCATATGGACAATGGGCTGAATTGTCAGTTCAAGCGATATGAGGCAAAAATATCAACATTTGGCTAAGAATGGCACTAGAAGACCTTCACAAACTTTGAAATTTGGGATATTGAGAATTGAGGATGAGAACAGGTTTCTGACATGGATGATGGTCATTCAGCCTATAAATATGATGTCCTACAATGCTACAACTACCAATCAATTTACTCAAATCGATCAAAATAATTCAAGCCACTTATTCATGATATACAAGTTGCAATGAATAGACCAGTTTCACAAGAGACGTAACCTTCCCCAAAAATTTCCAGACACTTTGTATCAATTTGAACTTATTGGTATCATACTCTCTTATAGCAATGTAGCGTTTTTCAAAGTGGAGTACAGACTACTGATGAATGATATCCAAAATCATCGTTAGGACAATTCAATGTAAGAAACACATCAAGGGGTACATGTTTCGGACATATACATATCCATCATCAGCCAAATGTCAAGAAAAAAGGTGTCTTACAACAAATTGAACCGATGCCTTAATGTCACACCTTTTTCGTTGATATTTGGCTGATGATAAACATATACGGGTTGTTTCGAAATTTGACCGACAACAATATCTCCAGAAAAATTGAATATAATGCATTCAAATTCGGCATATGGTTTCATCTTCGCATGGGTCATTCATTAACCAGGAAGTCATTCCGGCCATTTTATCCAGTGATGAGATACAGGGGGTTGTGGTTACTTTTCCTCCAAAATTTTCTACGACCCTGATAATATTTCGATAATTTTCCATTTATTGAATTAATTGTTCAATTTTGTTCAAAATATGCATCACTTTCAACTGAGCTGAAATGAACAGTTTTCGAGATAATTGACCCAAAATAGAAGTTTGCATAGTAATTTTTCATCACTTTCAGTAGTAGAAAGTTACAAAAATACTTTCCTGGTGGTGAGTAGATTAGGTACTTTTCAGAACTCAATCTTTAGCTAAACTGAAAAAGTTGTTTCATGCAGAAAGAAAAAACCAACATTTTTGTAATTTTTTACAACTGAAAATGATGAAGAATTGCTATTAATGAATTAATTTCTAGTTAAAAATTACCCATTCAAAGATGAAACCAAATACCGAGTTTAAATGTACAATATTCAATCATTCTTTAGTTGAAAAACAATTTCTATTTCTTAACTCCAACACCCCGTATTTCTAGAACTGAACACTTGAAGACCATATGTCCCTATCTCAGTCATCATGAAATCACGAGGGCTATTTACACCTGTCAAATTCATAAGTGGCATACAAAATATGGGAGGAAAAATGGATAAAATGTACGGAATTAATTTCTAGTTGAAAAATTACCCATTCAAAGATGAAACCAAATACCGAGTTTGAATGTACAATATTCAATCATTCTTGAGTTGAAAAACTATTTCTATTTCTTAACTCCAACACCCCGTATTTCTAGAACTGAAAACTTATGTCCCTATCTCAGTAATCATGAAATCACGAGGGCTATTTACACCTGTCAAGCGTTGTCGGTCGATTTTCAAAACACCCTGTACATATACATACGCCCTCGATGTGATTCTTGCATCAAACTGTCGTGGGATGATCTTGCTTAGGTATTAATATCGTTTTTTTTTCTTTTCAGCCTGCCAAAAACAAAATCATTTTCCTGAACTCATTCAAGATGAAGTTGTCTATTATTCTGGGTGTAGTCCATATGATTTTTGGAGTATGTGTCAGTACATTCAATTTCGTGTGAGTATTCTGTATGTTATATGACTGTATGCTTTCAGAAAATTGAAAATAATGAACGTATATTATTGCGGTGTGCCAAAAATAATTAATAAAAATAATAGGATAAGTAACGTTACTTTGAAAAATAGTCAATATATTGTCTCATGAAAAAGTTGCAAAACATTATTTATCGCCTAAACAAACTTTTACTTTTGAATTCCTTATTTTAGTTAGTCTAGTGTTTACTCGTAATCATGTTTTTTTAGTATTTTGCATTCTAGAGAATGAACAAGTTTCAACTTTCCAAACCATTGATATGTTCCTATATTATTATTTTATGGGTATTCTCGAGAAAAATTTGAAACTTTCAATTATGTTCAGGAATTTTTCAATCTACTTTTTGCTAAGATTCAATATTATGACTCACATCTTTCAAAAATATAGTTATCTATAGCTAATTAACTTTTTATTCTATTTTTCAGTCACTTCAGAAAAATTTCGAGTATCATTCTCGAATTCCTACCACAAATCTTACTTTTGATATTCCTATTCTTGTATATGGTAATTATGATGTTCATGAAATGGATCATGTATTCCGGAGAATATGATGGATGGGGTGAGTTTTTTCTGATTTTTTTTATACTTATCTTCAACCAAATTATCATTCAATTTAATTCCTGCTAAATTATTAATTTCTGAATAATCTCCTGTAGCAGGTCGATTTTCGATATCAATTTGCTACATTATGGTTCTAAAATGGTTCTTATCCATCATTCGGTTGCCCCCTCACGAGAACCCTCAAAAGTCTTACCTTTCACCGTGTGATCCCAAACACTTTCTTAGGCCATCAGACAAATTTCTGCGGTTTTGGTGGGAATCGAACCCACCTAGCGGCTATCCAACGTGGATAGAATACTGACGCTTTAACCACGAGGCTACGCTGGCAGGAAAAATCAAATATACACACGTTTGAATAATGATGTCCGCGACAATATTTTTCGAATGTAACACCCTACATATTATTCAATTTCTGGAATCTCTATATTAAGCTAAATTCGAAAATATATCACACATTGGGTTGTATACAGTGCGTCCGTTGAATTGAAATTTACCAATAAAAATCAAACTCGTTTCGGTCGTTCTTTTCAGAAATTATTACTTATATCCACCAGTTTACTAGAGCACTGGATTCATCGGACGTACTAGCTTTCCATGGAGATTCCAAAAATACAATAATATATAGGATGTCCCATTTGGAAAAATTGTCGCGGACGTCATTACTCAAACGGTTTTTCAGAAATGGATGGTTTTGCTATTAATGAATTTATTCAGTACTTTCCTGTTATGAGATTTTCTCCATTTCGTTTTGGATGAAATTGTTTGTCTGAAATTTTATTGTTTTGTGGAGAATTAGACGATTTGAATGAAATATCACTCGATCCTAGATTCCATTGAAAAAATCGTCCCGACGCCATTTTGAAAGATACATGTTTTCTATTGGAATCAGAATGACGTGATTCAAAAACGATTTTGTTGAGAATAAGGTATCATACTTCAAATCACTTTTGCCACAGGGTAGAGGCAAGTTAGGGTAAAACAGTAGCTTTTCTTTTTCCCTGTATACTGATCAAGCCATCAGGTTTTCTTGAAAATTACAAGGCGGGGCTAACACTCAGAGACATGAATTTACGATTTGGTTGAAATTTCTCCAGAATCGGAAAAGAATTAAAAATAATGTTACAGGGCGATCAATTCCGCTAATTTTTCTTCTGGCAGGTTTTATTTGCCGGTGAGTTTAGATCAATTTTGATCAACAGAGAAGATTCGAACATACCGTGTGATACATCATTGTAATCCGAAAAATTGAGACTTTTAAAAAATGCAAAAATCCAATATGGCGCCCATAAGAGAAAACAAAGTTGAGTGTTGTAACTTTGGCATCAAGAATGTCATGGAAAATACGATGACAGATTCAGATTCCTTATGGAAAAGTGCCTATGTCCTAATCAGAAACGTCTAGGTCTTTCGGTTTTCGTTTAAAAAATAAAAACGGAAATTACAAATTTTCGCCTTCTTCAAATAATTCAATAATTGAAAATGACACATTGAATTTTTTTGAAGTTGAATGTTCAGCATGAAAATGCGCTACTTTTGCCCTAATTCGAACGACCTCGTATCTAAATACTGTTTGTAGGTTAATCGAGGAGGTAGGTGGTACATTCATTTTACTTGATTTTTTGCGATTTTCTCTCCTCGTTCCTATTAAATAAACATATGCGTATTATTTCAATATATTTGTAGTGGGACAAATCAAATGATTTTACCCAAAATGTCACTGCGTTTAACAAGCTTTTCGATCAGGGAACCTTGAAGAAAAATCCAGTAGCTTGTATCAGTGACAATTTATGAGCAGCAAAACTTTCAAAGAGAAATGTTTTGCATTTTCATGTTCAGATTCGGTCCCTAAACATTCAAAAATAAGTAAAAATTCGATATTTTTTCAATATATCTATATTTCTTTCCTTCAAACATGTTTTCAAACGAATTGTCACTGACAAGCTACTGATTTTTCTTTTAGGCTCCCTGATAAAAAAATTTGTTAAACGCAGTGACATTTTGAGGTAAATCATCTGATTTGTCCCGCCGCTACAAATATATTGAAAAAATAGGCATATTTCTATTTTATAGAAACGAGGAAAGAAAATTTCAAAAGATCAAGTAAAATGACCTCGTATCCCTTATAATAACTGAGATCCCCATGGTGCAGCTCGAAAAACGGACACCTTGTATAACAGTGTCATTCATAAAGTCGGCATCATATGGGAAAAACTTTTATTAATGACTTATTTCGAAATTCGAGTTGGACGTTGAGTTTTGCTTCAAAAAAGATGAAAAATGGCCTACTCAATCGGGGTCACGTGACTTTCGCTACATGTCAAAAGTGACATTTTTTCAAATTAATCGCTGAAAGTAGGCTTATTTGTTCGAATATCGAAAAAGTTTACTTGAAAAAGTTGTTTCTATTTCAATTTTACATATGTGACTCGGATTTTATCTTTCTATTACATTTTTTAGATTTCGATATTTTTTAAAAATTTTCGTAATTTCTGTAATATCAAAAAAATTGTAAATTCGATAAAACTACTTCATACCAGTAGTTTCATCATGCTACTAACTTTCAATTAGGTACTAATTATCACTAATTATGAAAATGATAATCTCCGCTTCAAAATTCTGTTATGTTTGAGTCAAGCATTTAGACACGAAATTCATTTAAATTTATTTTTTCAGAACTGAAAAGATCAGTTTAAATGAATTTCGTTTCTAAAAGCTTGACGATGTATCAACTTTGCATCAAACATAACAGAATTTGGAAGCGGGGTATTATCATTTTCTGAAGAAAATCATATTTCTGTCCATAATCAGTGATAGTGAGTAATTGAAAGTAAGTAGCATGAAAAAGCTACTGGTATGAAGTAGTTTCGTGGAATTAACAATTCTTCAAATATTACAGAAATTTCGAAAAATTTAAAAAAAAATCAAAATCAAAAAGTTGCAATAGAAAGTACAAATTCGAGAAGCATGTGTAAAATTGAAATAGAAACAACTTTTTCGATATTCGAACAAATAAGCCTACTTTCAGCGATTAATTTGAAAAAATGTCACTTTTGACATGTAGCGAAAGTCACGTGACCCCGATTGAGTAGGCTATTTTTCATCTTTTTTGAAGCAAAACTTAACGTCCAACTCGGATTCCAAAATAAGTCATTAATAAAAGGTTTTCCCATATGATGCCGACTTTATGAATGACACTGTATATTGTATAAATCTTTCGACAGATCTTGCGGTCGTCAACAAACACGGCACCTCGTGCGCCCCCTCGGTGCTCATCTACTTCATCAACATGATGCTGATGGGCGAGAGCGAGCCGAACGCCGGCTGCGACACCTACATGTACGAGGGCCAGAAGACGGTGCAGATGGTGCTGGTGTTCGGGGCCCTTATTTGCATTCCCACCATGTTGTTGGGAAAGCCGCTGTACATCAAGTACACCAGGGGGAAAAAGCCGGCAGGAGTTACGAAGGTTTGTGATTGGATGTCAATTTTTCTCATGGAAGGATAGCAAGGTCATGAGTTTCTCGTTTTATTTGTAAACGTCATTCTGTTTTCACCACCGTTACCAGAATGGAGCAAATAAAACGCAACTATATTGTCGCAACTCAGATGGACCTTCACCACGTGTCGCAACTCAAACATCGCTTTTACTTCGATGTATCAACTTAGGAGTACTCGCTTAGCTATTTCGCAAGAGGATTTTCAGTATTTCATCACCGAATCACATTCATTCCGAAATAAAGAGAATTGTTTCTCAATAGTACAATAATTTATTCAATCACGGAAACATAAAAATGTACACCTCCAAAGTGGCATAGTGCCACTTTGGAAGTCAGCAATCGATGAATGAGTGAGTAATGACCATCCTTATCAATTCGAGTTCTATTTATATTTTAAATCGATGCTAGATTCGCAATTTTCTGCAATGGGAATGGTCGTTACCTTTCGATATTGTTTACCTAGGATTATCGCACGGTAAGCGGTTTTTGCAAATTCTAAAGGAACTGACGTCTATGAACTCCGCTTACCTGGTCGAAGCTACACTAAACTGGATGTCTTAATTTGGAAAATTCAATTTATTATTCATTATTATTATTATTATTATTATTATTTATGTTTTACAGAAAAGTGAGGTTGTGTTTCAATATTTTACCTCCAGGGTCGGTCATCGTGCACGCGACCTATTCGGGAAATCACGAACCAATAGATGGCGCTGAAGGAACGTCAAATCAAGTTTGGTAGAACTAATGATAATTGTCATCAGTTCTACCAACCTTGCGTCAAATTTTGAAGTGAAAGTGGTCAACAAACATTTCTCATATATTTTAGGAAAACAAATCACCAATAATCTTTCTCGAATTGTCCGAAATCGTATCCTAACTGATAGACAACACACCTGAAATACGAATTATGACGGAATTTCATCATCATCATCACTTTTCAGAATAAATCCAATGGTGACGTGAACCAAGGAATGGAATTGGAGGAGGTTTCGGAAAATAACCATGAAGCTCCTACCCATGGAAAAAGCCACGAGGAAGAAGAACCGCTTAGTGAAATTTTCATTCACCAGGCCATCCACACGATTGAATATACACTCAGTACAATCTCACATACAGCATCGTATTTGCGATTGTGGGCACTCTCACTCGCTCATGCGCGTAAGTTACATATTTTCTCTTGACATTCTTTTTTTATAGGGTGTTGGATTTCAAGAAACGTTTCGTTTCCTTATCGTAACGTCAATATTGTTCTAAATATTTTTATGAAATTTGACATGCACCTACTAAGGACCAATAATTTTTTGATGCAGGAGATGTATTCATATTTCTACCATTGGCGTATATACTGGAAAATGAAAATGATTCTTGAAATCTTCATTTATTTGGCAACAATTTGACTCCCTGAACTCTTTCCGTCCGACCGAATAAAAACCATTTTGGCTAATTCAATCATTTGACTTTCTTGAATCAAAATTAGACAAAAACACGTCTTACCTACAAACTAACACATGGTGCTGGTCGTGCCTAGTAAGTGCATGTCATATTTCATGAAAATATCTAGAACAGTATTGAAGTTATGATGAGATAGGGTCCCTTGATGTAAATTGACGTATTTGCCATCTTTAACAGGGTACGTCTCCTCGTCTCCTCTCACTCTAAAGTGTTTGTGAAACAGTTATATAGTTCCATCTTTATTCATTTCTGGAGATAAACACTAGATTTCTGACATTTTTCGTTTTTTAGGTTATATTTGAGATTGGCGTATCATACGTAATTTCCACATGTAATTTCTCATTCAACTCTACATATTATTATTATATCCAAATGATGATGATGATTTTCGAGTTCTTGATTTTTCAACTCCATCATAATCTTTGTGAGGCAGTGAGCCAATTTTCCTGAATGTTTAACGGTGAAAAAATGTTATGTAGGTATTCAAACTAATGTGCTCATATGTCATATGTGTGCTGTATATATTCATGTTGGGAATCATTTTTGTAGTGTTTCACGAATATTTACTGAATGTAGGTATAATTTTTTAATATGCCTCTTCTTTTAATCCCCCGTTTCAATCAGAACTGTTTCTACTAAAATGCATTCAAAAACTTGTGGAGGGGATAATTATAGGCACAATGAGAAAGTATAACATGTGATTTCGTATTAGGTTTACCTCGAATATTTTGCTGATGTATTTACCAATTTCCCCCATTCGGTCACTTCACTTTCCATGTTCTAAGTTCATTTGCATTCGATGGAAAGCTGACAAATTCAAATTTGCCATCCAACTGCGATTGATACAGCCTAACGCAACCAAAGTCACTAGATGATTGAAAGAGAAAGGAGCTATGATCTGTCCCTACCCTGTTAGATGACAAATACATCAGTTTGCATCAAGGAACCCTATGATGAGAAAACGATTTTTTTCTTAAAATTCTACTACCCTATAGAAACTTAATAGGTTTAGTGCATATGTTCATAATATGTAATTTTCTTGATAACGGGTAAAAAAATGCACACTTTCAAAATAGTTACAACTCTTCTTCTGATTTGGATCACTGAAATGTCAGATTTTGTGTGAAAATTTCACCAAGAGTAACATGAATATTAAATTTTTGATTATTTTAGAATTGTTGTTGGACCACTCTGTATAATATGATGATATTTTGTTTTTCAGAATTGTCGGAGGTACTATGGAGCATGTTATTTTCGAAAATTGCGCTCAAAATGGGAGGTAACTTGGGAATCGTCTTCGTTTTCCTCATATTTTCAGTGTGGGCTACGTTCACCGTCGCCATTTTGGTACTCATGGAGGGCCTTTCGGCGTTTCTGCATACGTTGCGTCTTCATTGGGTAGAATTTATGAGTAAATTTTATGCCGGGGTCGGATATGCTTTCCAACCTTTCAGTTTCAAAAATATCCTGGAAGATGAAGAGTCCAGTGAATGATTCACGATTCATTTTCCACTGTTTTATCTATATCTAACGTAGAAATGCAATAATATTTAGATTATAGTTTGTTGATTGATATAAGTGTTTCATTTCTTTCCATATGATTGTGTGTTTGATATCATGTATATTACAATATGAACGCACGTTATATCTCTATTCTATATTATTATTTCCACCCTGTATGATTTATGGTAGTGCAAACATTTTCACTATCCTGATACATGACAATTAATTATGAATTGAGCATATTTCATTGAAGTAGTTAGACATTTAGTATTAATATCCCTTTTCATTCAGATGACAAATGACTGTCTCTGTTTACATGACAGAGTGGCGGCCATTTTCACCGAAACACTTACACCCTACTCCTCAGTAACGAATAAGTAACGTTTTTGGAATTAAATTATTATAATACAATTAGTACACACCAGGAATATAAAAACAAAAATACTATGTCGTTATTGTTGTTTCTCAATGACGAATGCCCATGGTGGTTGACATTTGACAAAACGTCAATAATACCCGCCATATTCGAAATGGCCAATCAGCATTTTGTGTTGGAACTATAGCCAATGAGACATCACCTTCCCATTACCCAATGAATTTTTGGATCTAAAAACGAGCGCATGCGTCTTAAAAATTGGTCGTAAAGTTTCACATCGGGAGTTGAAAAACGTAAGTCTCCTCAAGCCTTTCCATAGCTTGAGGTTTTCTATTTGTTAAAATATTCAACATCATTTAATATTTTCGATAAAGCATTTTGGCTAAAGGCTGTATGACACCTGTTAAATTTGATGACAAATATGATAACAAAAATGATAACAAAAATATTTTCTATGTGCCATACAGTATAAATATTTATAATATCAAAATATTTAGAACCAGTCCTATATTTTTAGTCCCACCCGTGAGGTCAATGTCAAAGTCAAAAATCTTAAAATTTTACCCGTGAAGGCTGCACCTATGACACCTGTTAAATTTGATGACAAAAATATTTTTTATGTCATAAAGGTGTTGAATTTGCGCAGATTTGCAAACATTCTTGTAAAAATATAGGACTGGTTCTAAATATTTCAATATTATAAATATTTATACTGACAAGCGTCTACAAACACCGGAGGCTCTCTGAATCCGTCGCCGCTGATGAAGAGCGTAATGTTTTGGAAAAATGATGCAAAGTTTTTTTTTCTTTCCGAATTTACCTTGAGAAACAAATTATTGCGAGAGCTAAACATTGCAAAAGCCTCACATGTTTTTTTCTTTCATATCAGGACAAAATTAACAAAATAAATTGGTGGATGCATTAGATTTATTGCTATTGTTAGCCCTTATTGGCTATTTCACTCCTATACGCGTCAAAAAAGTCCATCTCTTATTAGTATAGGAATACGAATCGAATTCGAACAATTCGAGAATAGTTCCCCAGTTGCCCAAGGCAAGTTGATCATATTATTTTTTCTGCAGGAATATGGTTAACGAACTGATCTATTATTCAAAATAAAGTTATGAAATCTGGCCACAGAAAACTTCTCAATCTAGTAGTAATTCTTTTTCGGAATACTATGAATTCACTATTTCAGTGATTTTTTTATATTCTCAAGTTTGTTCAGCGCAGGAATTGTTGAATAACATATCGATGCTATGGTTTGAATTCGAATTGACCGCCATAATGGGCGTGTACACCTCAGTAGAACTTTTAACTCAAACCATGTTTATAATGATCCTTTTATACATAAATAATGATTGACGACATAATTCGATCGAAAAATTAACTGGAATATTTTATTTTCGAACATAAATAATAGTACCCTCTGAAAACGAACCCTGTTATGACGTAGAAACCTCATCTCGCCATAGTTAAAAGAAAATACCAAACGCCCGACGGAGACTGAGGCAACTGATATATTAATTCTTTCAACTGTGATCTCGCGCTAATTCACTATGTCAGAAATCATGTATCATTCATATCTGTCTGGAATAGTCTTGTTTCAGTATTAGGGTTCTGACGTCACATCATTGCCTCGTTTTCAGAGGTCCGAAAAATCGGGGATTTCAATAATTTTTTATAAAACGTAGGGAGCTCACAGCAAGAAACGGTTTGCGGTGGTGAGCTAGTTAGGGTGAGTTCTATCGAATTATGAAATAAAAATTTTTTGTGATATAAGCCCATTAGAATGGTTGTTGTCTAAAAATCCATGAATACCGAAAGTCATGGTTTTATGAATTCTTGATTTTGCTGTTTTGTGCTTTCGCATTAGTGACAAGCCTTGACACAGAACATGAAACATTTTTCACAACAAGAGACCACGTGTGATGTGACGTTTGTAAAAGTCCAAGATTAGGGTTTTGTTTTTTCTTAATTTTTATTTTTATTTTACACAATACATTTTTTAAGCCATAAGCGAAAAGAATTTTGATATTACTTGCAATGGAAAAGGTAGAACGAACACTTGGTGATGGAATCGACAACAATGTATTGAAATCAAATCCTCCAGACAGAAAAATCAACAAGCTTTTGAACATTGAAGTTAAGAACAAGAATACTCAAGATATCCTCAAGTCTATGAGACCTATTGAACCTAAATCAAAGGCAGTTCATTTAGTTCCCAAGTATGTGCCAAAAATAAGAAAAGCACCAAAATGCCTAGTGAAGAAACCTAGAGAGCCAAAATTCATACCATATGAACCATACAAAGCTGCTGTTCAACCAATGGTATCCAGTAAAGGATTGTCTTTCTTCAACAATGACCTGAAAAAATCTAAAAACGACACAGAAATACAAGAACTAGTTACTCAAATGTCAGAGATGAGGAGAAGTGAAATGGAAGGAATGCCTTATGAGAATATTGGAGATGAAATGGATGGATCACAAAGGGCCAGACAAAAATGGCAAAAAGAGAAAGAGACATTTTTAGTTGACATCAAGAATTTACGTGAAACTAACTCACATCTGGAGAACCAACTGAAATTCCAAGCACAGGTAAATAGTAAACAGTTTGTGATAACAATTTGTAGATTGATTTTTCAGGTCAACAGTGAACTGAAAACACTTTTGGTAGCTGCTGTTGGTGAAGACTTGGAGAGCAGAGTGCAGCATCTAACAGAAGATAAATTATCACTTGCAAGATCATTGTTGAACTATGCTAATCATCTAACTTCCCATCAAGAAAAAACTGAGTGGCTGTCTGGTCAGTGTGAAGTGTGGAGGAGTAAATTTTTGGCCTCAAGGTACTGAATGAATCTTTGCTTTCACCCAATAGTTTCAAATTCAATTCCAGTTTGATGGTTGAAGAGTTGGCAAAATGGAAATCTGCTCTTTCTAATAGAATAAATGCTATGCAAGAAGTGATGAAAATTCTTCTGGAGGAACGTAAGAGGGTTCATAACCAAAGTTATGAAACTCTGAATGTCCTGAAAAACATTAGTGAAAATGTATCTGGGAAGGCCAATGAGAAGCAATGTTTACTGAAACATGGCAACATATTAGATGTAGCAAATGTTAATTTTGAGTTGACTAACAGCATCAAGGATAGTTTGCATATAAATGAAAATGAAAGGCTGAAAACTGATGATAAACTTCAACCAACTCTTGCAGAAAAAACTGCTCACAAGGTAAGAAAAGTATAACTTTAACACACAATGATGATTAGGTTTCACCAAGGGTTTCACCAATATTTTAAGATGAAAGCTATTCAATTGAACCATCCTTTATATACTTTTTAACTATCTTTGAGGCTTGATTTTTCACTCAATTGAACCAGAAGTCCGAGCAGAAGTCTCATTATTATAATTTTTATTTTTCATTTTTGCTGAATTCATTTCAACATAGGTACTCTCATATATTTTGGATAGGTTATTTGTTCGGAATGTTTTTTTTGGATTAGGTATCTACTACCTATACTTGATTGATTTGATTAACTAATAACAATTACTAGTTCATTTATTTTTCATTATTCCATTAACTTTTCAATGCTATTAATTGTTTCAATGATTTATACACTCTATATGCCTCACTTTATGCTGTTTCAGTATCTATAGAGATTAAAAATGTTTGATTCAAAAATCCAGGGTGAATCATTAGAAAAAGTGACCTAATTATTTTTCTACTTCTATCTATTATTATCCTGAGATTATTCTTCATGTTTGCATGTTTTGATTACTGACAGATACTGAATAATAGGCATATTTTGGTATAATAATTATATGTACAGGGTTTGTTTTATTGATGTGAACCCTCCTCTACCTCTTTTGATTTTAACCCATTCAAAAAAATTGAATACTGATTTCATACAATATTTTAATGATGCAATCCCTCAATTATACAGGGTATACAGAAATAATTATATTAGCCTGTCTCAAGTTATTAGTCATGCAATTATTGCACCTTCAACATTTCCAACAGCTGTTTTAGCCAGTGTTGCCACAACCTGAAAATATTTTGTAACAAAATCATCCCTTGAAAGAGCAGTACAGCTAGCACCAAGAGAAAAAAAATGTCTTCTCCATTTGTCCTTGTCTTCACTGTTCCAAGTGTTCCAACATAAAATAATTAAAAATTGTATGTTGGCAACAGTGGAAATGAGAAGAAATGGAGAAGACCATTCTGACCATTTGTATATATTTTTTTTATCTTTTGGAGCGCACCAAAGGAAATTCCTATAATGATCCTGGATTTTTTTTAACTTTTGGAGGTTATAAGTTTTTGAGAGTACTTCCATTGGCAAAGAATTCCAAAGCTTAAGATCGCAGCGCCAAAGTGGTTGGTTGTGGAACTATGTGAAAGTACATTTGCTTGTGTGTATTATTTCCAATTTTTGGTAATAATTTAAGCAAATAAAACTTCACTTTTGACTGTTTATTTGTATACTCTTGTCATTCCGGGCAGCTTTTCAGCAGATATTCCTTCAATGGGTTGTGTGCAAGATCTGTCAGATGACCGACCCTGGAGGCAAAACATTGACACACAACCTCACTTTTCCCATATGTTCACAAAATATTGAAATAGTTCTTCACAATTAATTTGGCATATGAATCTGTCTCTCTGTTATTCATTAATTCAAGAATGCCATCACATTGTGCTGTTGTAATATGCACAAAAAATGCAGCGAGAGACGAAGTAATTCGATTTTTCCGAGGGATAAATCACGGCGAAAAAAATTGTACATCAAACTTCCCATGGGTCAAAACTTCCCAAACTTCCTCGAACTTCCCAGAACTTACTCAAACTTCCTGAACTTCCTCGGACTTCCTAAACTTCCTCAAACTTCCCAAACTTCCTCGAACTTCCCAAACTTCATTGAACTTCCTAAACTTCTCAAAAAGTTTCAGACTTCACAAACCAAGTATAAGCAATTCAATATTTAACGATTCAAAATGTGTTCCTTTCCCTATGGTTGGTAGGTTTCTCGGTAGGTATATACAGGGTAGTCTGGTTTGTAATACAAAAAACTCAACAGTGTGTTGTAGGTACTCGTTGGGATAATGAAATACTTTTAAACGCGTTGTTTTCGAGATATAGGGTGTTGAAATTACGAGTCTGAATATTGTTTTTTGGGGTTGGTGAATGAAAAAAATCACCCCAATATTTTTTCAATGCGTTACAACGCTTTCGAATTGAGCCGGATTAACAATGTGAGAAATCAGATTTAGAACTACAAATTGAGAAAGAAATGCTCAAATAAAAATTGGGGTGATTTTTTCCTTAACCACCCCCAGATTCAGCCGCCACTGAATTATATTATGAAATAATCTTTATTTCATCTTATAGAGCGTAAAAAGTTTAGTATCTGTGGGATATTTTGTTGATTTATCTCAAACCGTTTCGAACTTTTCTCAAAAAAACAATATTCGGACTCGTATTTTTAACACCCAATAAGTATTATTGACCAGGCCTCATCTGATTATTCAGTAGGCTTCATCCACATCTCCATTACGTGGGTTATAATAATCAAGACCTGGAATAACAATAACTGTGCTGCTCGGATCTAAAACTAAGTATCTATTTGAAATTTGAATCGTGAGACGAACATGGAATGAAGAGTCTTTATATTGTCGGATTTTGTTTCAAGTATCAAACACTCTGCTTCTTGGATCTGCAACTGCACATCACATCAAATATCGAATCAAATGAATCAAAAATGATCATTATTAGATGCTGTACACACATGGATGTTGAATTAGAAACTCCCCTGAATATTTTCGCAACGTTCCTAGTTGGATTAGTTGGATTGCAGCATGGTGGTTCAAGATTCAGACTCCTGATCATCCTGTATCTGTTACAATTAAATGTCAGTAGATAGTAAATCAAGACTTGAGATGGGGACATAAAAGCCGTTTTGACCAATAATGCATAGTTTCGTCACAAAAAAATCCTAAAGTTGAAATATCTCGATTTTGAACACCCTATATCCCTGAAATTATTCCAGCTAGACCCCAAGTGTGATGCATTGATGAAATCAGCTCTTCGGGGAGAATCTAAAAATGCAATGAAATACAAGGTTGTTGCTTCTTTTCGTTAGAAGCGGCAATGCCGCATGGCTGAAAATATTTAAGAACGATGTCCCCCTCGAAAATGTAGTTGACGTGTTTCAGATTTTTTTCATAATCCGATTTTGCCGACCTACAGAGCCGCTGTTTCGTTTTCAATGGCCCACTCTGTATAAGTTTTGTTTCCGAATAGAAGTTTCCTCAGTAGGCTTCATCCACATTTCCACTCAACGTGATTTATAATAAAGATCTGGAATTCCGAACACTGTGCTGCTCGGATCTGAAATTAAGTATTAATATGAAATTTGTATCGTGAGACGAAGATGGACTGAAGAGTCTGGATATTGTTGTCAACATTCGTAACTGGAATGCGATATATTTTTGTAATTTATTAATGAATCAACTATCTCAATGAATACGAGGCAGGCAATAAGCAACAATTTTCTCTGCGATGAAAAACACTGTATATACCTAACCCATCTAGCGTCTACCTCCTTTGCAGAGAGGGTTTATGAACGCAAAGTTGGTACTCTCCCCTCGTAAGGGTACCTGCCGTATTTCCATAGAGACATAAAGGTGAATATCTGTCTATCTGTTTGCTTGAGAATCTGGAAAAGAAATCAATATATCGCCTTCCGTACGAACATGGTGATCTGAATTTAGAGAAGTATACTCTGGTCATTTTTCTTTGTGGATCGTTTCTTAGGTTCGGCTTTACTGGATGGCTTTCTCGGATTTTGTTTCAAGTATCAAACCCTGTGCTTCTCGGATCTGCAATTGCACATCATATATCAAATATCGAATCAAAAATAATCATTATTAGATGCTGTACATGCATGAATGTTGAATTAGAAACTCCCCTGAATATTTTTGCAACGTTCGTTGTTGGATTGCAACATATACGTTTTGTTTACGAATAGAAGTTTTCTCAGTAGGCTTCATCCACATTTCCACTTAACGTGATTTATAATAAAGACCTGGAATCCCAAACACTGTGCTGCTCAGACCTAAAACTAAGTATTAATTTAAAATTTGTATCCTGAGACGAACATGGAATGAAGAGTCTGGATATTGTTTTTAACATTCGTAACTGGAATGCGATATATTTTTGTAATTTATTAATAAATCAACTATCTCAATGAATACGAGATAGGCAGATAAGCAACAATTTTCTCTGCGATGAAAAACACTGTATATACCTAACCCATCTAGCGTCTACCTCCTTTGCAGAGAGGGTTTATGAACGCAAAGTTGGTACTCTCCCCTCGTAAGGGTACCTGTCGTGTTTCCATAGAGACATAAAGGTGAATATCTGTCTATCTGTTTGCTCAAGAATCTGGAAAAGAAATCAATATATCGCCTTCCGTACGAACATGGTGATCTGAAATTAGAGAAGTATACTCTTTGTGGGTCGTTCCTTAGGTTCGGCTTGACTGGATGGTATTCTCAGATTTTGTGTCAAGTATCAAACACTGTGCTTCTCGGATCTGCAACTAAACATCTCATCAAATATCGAATCATATGAATCAAAAATGATTTTCATTAGATGCGGTACATGGATGTTGAATTAGAACATTACCTAAATATTTTTCTGCAACGTTCGTAGTTGGATTGCAACATCGAATCAGATCAAAAATCAAATCACGATGATTTCAAAAATCAAATAAAATGTAAAAAAAATTGTCGCGGTTGCCTTAACTCAAACGTGAATCATCCTGTATATACAATTTTCCGATTTGAATGTGGCAAATTGAAAATAAAAATCGACCTGTTTCAGGAGATTCCTCAGAAATGGATAGTTTGGTTTAAATAGTTACATATGTACCTAGGACGAAAAACTGTATATTATAGTCGAATCTGCAGTAATCAGGCGAGACAATAGACAGTTTTTCGCCGAGGTGCATATTAAATTCATCGTCGACCTCAAACACTTAGTTTTTCGTGAATAATCAATTTGACAACTGCAAATGACAGTTGTTGGCAACTCACTCTCCGCGTGGACCAGGGTGGCCAGTCCGATTTTTATTTCATTTAGTAAATACCTTGTAGAAAATTAAGGTGTATTTTATGCTATACGAATTCCGAGCAAGGGTAATGAAATGAACCTATGACATGACGTCACAATA